AGTATTTCTAATCCTCTAATTCTGTCACGGATAAACAAGGAAGGACCCAAAAGCAGAACGGCAAAATAATATAATCTAATAAATGCCAAAAAAAAGTCAAAACTGAAACCGGGAACAAGACATGGGCGGAAAACAACAATGGGCCGACAACAAGAAAACATGAGCACAGGTACAAAGGCCCCGTCCCAATACTCGCACTTCCACCTCGCGCCCCTCATTTGCACGTTCCCGATGATGGGTGCGAGTGTGTAGGGTCCAGTCCCAATTCTCCAGGGAGGTCTTAGGCCCCGCCCCCTTTGCGCCCCTGATCCACACTTCACCGTAGCCTGCATCTAAGCGGACTCTGGCAAAGGATATTGCCCATAATTCTTTGCGGTACAAACCAAAACGTCAGGAAAATGCATTTAAGTGAAAGTTTTGAAATATATGCTGTATGTGTGTTAATAAGTTTTGCTGTTATGTTTGATGAAGAATTACGGACATTCTATGCTAACAATCTTAGAACTTTTTTAATGCAAGCTTTCATATAACATTCAATTTAAACTTTACACTTGGTACAATAAACTTAGGATGTATAAAAACTGACCAGATAACAGTTAGTTACCCACATTTAACTTAAAATTAGACAGCTACCTCAAATTACGAATAACCAATATACATTTATTTTAACGTGTGTGGAGCAATTCATTTTGTTTCCCACAGGGTCAGACAAAATTACCTTTCATTTTAATAAAGTTTAGGTCTGAAAATGACCATCTCTTGACGAGTCGATGACTGTAACCTGCGCACTCAAACCCGTACGTGCACTTCACACAAATGCAGACTTCGTAGAAAAATAAATCAAATTAAAACCCGATACATTAACAGGAAGTCCTCACCATGACAAATTCTTTCTTTCTTTTTTTCACAGTATTTTGACCAAGGCACACTGAATAACATCTCACGGCACACTTACGTTCCCTGGCACACTGGTTGAAAAACACTGTCCTAGAGAACTACTGTTGTGATTTAGGGCGATACAAGAATACATTGAAGTGAATTGACCATAGATAACGTCTCATTGTTCCATACTCGGACTCACTCCTACACCACTGTATGTTCCTTTTCTATTCACACAAACCAGGCGCAATCTCTTGGATAAAGTTTCCCAAAGCAGCTGTCACGAGCCGTCGTTAGCATTTCTTACAGAATTCACACCCACACTACAATATGGCCAACCATCATAGGTCAAAACCAGGACTTTAAGATTCCTCCCTCCCTGCCAAAGAAACACCCAGGGAACCCTTCATGGAGATATACTGGAGATGTTTTATAGATGTACACTTCAGTGCTGCTCTCTCCGTGTGGGGACCGATACTCTTAATAGTAATTATGCTCAATGAGAGGGATTTATCTGACTGTTAATTGGCCCCAAGAGCAGATATATGCAAACTCCACACGCCACGATTCGCTAAGTCTCAATATATGTCTCTTACAGCTCAGATCTAAAGCCGCATTTGGGTCATCGGCGAACAAAAACGAGAAGGATTAAAAAAGAAATGAGAAAGGTCCCTTTGGTAAATGGGAGATTTCATCATAACTGAATATAATGCAATTTGGTGAGAATGCGTCGAGGGCATTTGGTGCAGAATCTAGAATCTCATTAGTTCAAAGCAGAATAGATGTTATTGTTATTATGTCTGGATCCTCATTTGCTGTCACCAAATGGACAGCTACTCTTCCTGGGGACTAGTTTTAAAATACTATAAGTACCCAGAGTACATAGGTCATTACAATATAGAGTCACATTCAGCCAATATGAAATACTAGAAATATAGGTCTTTGATCATTTTTACTTGTAGACCATAATTTTTAAGCAGTTTTCAGAAACTGGGCGAAAGAGGAAGACCTGTACTATTGTAAATTTACTTTTGAATGCACTGGAAATGGCAGCGGTCGTATTGTGCTTTATACAAATAACAAAAATAACAAAAATAATCTTGCATTTTTCTAGTAGTAAATGTAGCTGCAGTACAGTCTTCATGGTTTTACACTGATCCGGACCAGAGCAGAGAGGTGTCATGGTCCAGACCGAGCACAGATCAGGTGGAAATCTACTGGAGGAATTCTGACTTTTTATTTTGAAATATTCTAATAAAGCATTGAGAATTTCACTCTGAACCAGAGCAGAGGAAATGGTCTGAACCAAGCAGACTTCCCCACCTGCTGCTGCTGCACTTTATTACCATTGTTAGTAACTTGTATCATTATTTATGTATTTGTTTGTTTGAAAGGGATTAATTAATAAGTTCATGAAACGCTCTGAGGACTCTTTAAATGTAATAATGAATGTTTTTCCGTCTGACACTGAACTCTGGAGAAACTGTTTTTATAGAATTTTGTAAACCTTGAATGTTTAAATGTTCTTGTTGTGTTTGTTTTATATGGACCCTCTTTTAAAGATTAAAGTAGCAATGTGTAAGATTTTTTTGTAAAGTCATCATTAAAGGGCCCTAATCGGTCAAAAAACATTAACAAAAAATGTTCTTTTCCAATACTTCTTTAACTGATGACAGTAGTTCAGAGATATTTGAATTTCTAAATTAGTTTTCCAGCCTCTAAATCTTGTTATTGTTTTCATTTTGATGTCCCGCCCTCCACCGTTTCACCAATCAGAAAGTCCATGATCCGGGCGCCAGAACTCACCGTGTGGAGCTAATCTCACTGGTAAAGTACCATGTGGCGCAGAACTAAAAGGTTTCATTATGATTCTCAAATCATTAACGACAAAACAAGGAATAAAACCAGGATTTCTATCTTTGTGAAAAAGGTGTTGGTTATAGATTTGTTGTTGACAAAACTCTTGTCTATTCAGCTGTTATGGTCCCAGCTGGATTCGTCTGCATATCTGGCAACCTGAGTCAGGGAGAGAGGGAGAGGCTGCAGTACCACTTTTGGCCAGATTTTTACATACTGCTCCTTTAAATAAAATAAATAACAATAATCAAAATAAAATATCTATGTATTTATTGTTGTACCTGTTGTATTGTGTCTCATTCACAAGAAATCTCTTTAAATGTGTAGCATTAGCCATGAAAATGACATTGTACTTTAACAGCTACTAAAAGAGTATGTAAAATGGTACAGTAGTTGCGTGATAAAACAAGATACAAATGTGGTTGTGTTGTTTTTGAAGAGAAAATTCACCGACAGCTCACTCATATCTCCATTAAAAGTTCTTCCACCTGTGAGACTGCGACCCTCTCAGACGCAGCCCTCAGTCTGGCCTCAATCAGCCTCATTCTAATTGTTCTTTCAATTATGAATCCCTGTCAAAGGTTTTATGACCAATTACTGGGCTCCGTATTCCTTTCTCGAAGAGTCATAAAAGCCGAGAACGTTGCTAACTGTTCCAGGCGCTGAGATGACGACTCTAAATTGACTTTGCCTTTACGACCTCGACAATATTGAAAACAATTAGTAAGGAAGGATTCGGAAAGTGTGTTTGATGGATGGACTCAATTTTGAACAAGGTAGTTATCTCTCCTGCTGTAATTATTATTAAGATCCCAAACAAAGGCGGCACGGTGGCTGAGTGGATAGCACTCTCGCCTCTCAGCAAGAAGGTCCTGGGTTCGAATCCCGGTCGGACCAGGGCCTTTCTGAGTGGAGTTTGCATGTTCTCCCCGTGTCTGCGTAGGTTTCTTCCGGGTACTCCGGTTTCCCCTACCACTAAAAATATGTCCAATAGGCATGTCTGGCATGCGCCTCCTGTACTGGCGACCCCCGCTCCCATCTCTGTGTGGAGGGAGAGATAAAATGCCCAAAATCAACAATTGTAAACCGCTTTGAGACTCAGATCTGCAGTGAAAAGGCGGTATATAAATAAAGATTACTTACTTACTTACTTAAGATCCCAAACAAAGGCCCACATGGTGCAAAATGTAGTATTTACCAGCTGGGTTAGAAGGTTCTTTAAATAATATAAGTGTACAGAAGCTAGTGCGGCTTCATTAACATGTATAAGATAAGATTGAATTGATTGATCTCACAATGGAGAAATGTACATAGACTTTACATATACAGTACATAGACTTCCACCCTCTATCAGCTGCTCCCCCCTGTGCTGTGGTCTCTGGAGAAGTCAGTCCCAAGTGTGAGCCAAGGCATAGGCCCCCTCGTCTCTGTTGATGGACCGTCAGCCCCGCTTCCTGATTTCAATCGTCTCTTGTATGTATCTTATATGTTATTCTATGTCTGCATTGTCTCAGTCCTTTATGCAGTTTTCTCTCTTGTTACTAAAGTGTTCTCACAAACAAAGATTGACCTGAGTGAAGCTGGAAGCCATGGTTACCAAGGAATTTCCCCGTATATTGGTTTAGTGTGGGTAGGTTGCTAGAATACGGTACCAGATACTAACACGTAGAGAGGCACCACGTAAAGTAGAGAAGAGTAGAGTAGAATAGAATAGAATAGAATAGAATAGCGCGAGAGTAGAGTAGAGAAGAGAGGGGCAAAGTAGAGCACAGTAGAGTAAAGCAGAGTAGAGTAGAGTAGAGTAGATTAAAGCAGAGTAGGGTACAATGCCATGATACTGTACAGGACTGAGACCAGAGCACATAGACAGAAGGGGGCGGAGCTACATGTTTGTGCCGGTTCCTGATAGGTCTGATTTTGTCGAGGGAACAATGGAACACAGTTAAAAAGTCAATTTAGTCAAGTCTCTTTTAAAAATCATTTTTAAAAATACCATGTCTTCTTTAACTTTAACATTTACCATCAAAGCTGCATTTCAGCCATTTGTTAGAAGCTTATAATAAAAAAGGGATAAAAAAAAAAAAAAAATGCTACTCAAAAAACATGCATTGCTTTCTTCAAAAAGCGAAAATTAAAGGGTAAAATATAAACAAAAAAAAGCATTTCTAAATCCTCTCGGCTGCTTGTGCGTGCGGAGCCTATTTATTCGTGTTAAAATCCAGTTAGTGTAATGCGACCGCACTGGTAGAAACACCATCCGTCACTTATTCCACTCCCAGTTCCCAGGTCACATCCATCCTGCCGCTCCGTCTGTCACTGACCAGCAGATGGCGACCTGCTAACTCCCTGTGGTCAGGGGAGCGAGGCCACATGGAGGGGTGGTGCTGGGGGATGGGACTGGATCTGAGAGAATGTGAGGCCGATGGACAGAAGGGAGGGCTCTGCAGGTTAATGGGGTTTGGGAGGCGTCCAATTAGAGCAGAATGGATGAGAGGAGGAGTAGAGGACGGTGGCAAGGCAAGAAGTTTGTATAATTGTGTGTGGATCGGGCATTGGTGCTACTTCTGTCTGCTCTGTACAGTAGGGTGGTCAAAAGTATAAAAAATCAGATATTCATTCATTCCTCGGCGCAACCACCACCAGTAAGATTTTCTCATGGATCTATAATAATATCTGTATACGGTGTTACTAGCTTATAGCAGTCCCCCCAGGGAGCGCTGTGGTACTGCAGACTAAATTCATGTTACCCAGAAAAATGTCCAATAGAACTCAATGTAAACTAAAACAGCTCAACCTCAGCTGACAGAGAACCTGACAGAGAACTTACAGATTTCATAAAGGTCTGAGTTTGTGGGAATTTTAGTGTCCCTCGTCCTCCTGAACTTGTTCTCTTGTTAAATCCTTTGGTTTTCTACAAATCCACAGTTTATTTGATTGTCTCTGGCTCTAACTCTGTTCTGTTCAGCAGCTCTGATTGGTCAAAGCCCCAGAGGGGCTCTGATTGGTCAAAGCGCGGTTGAGCCCCTCTGTGCATGTGTATGAAAGCCACACATGCGTATCTGCCGCAAAGCATCATGGGAGCTCGTCCAGTGCGCAATCTCAGCAGAGAAGTGAAGAAGACCAGAGATCAAATTAGCAACCTGCTGATATTTTTTCTCTATGAGCAACACCATAAAAGTGACTTCCTCAACTTTCTGAAGCTGAAAATGTACCATATCACAGAAAATCTAACTGTCACAATGAAAATTACTTTTTTTTACTTTTTTACATTCTACCAATTCTTCCACTTCCTGTCAGAAAAAAATACAATATTTGACTTTTGTGTCTCAGGCAAAATAACAAAAACTTGGAAGGAATTTTGGCTCAATAATTTTGTCTCGGCAAAGAAACAGAATGTAAAGCTGCGGAGAAAAGGGTTCGGTGAAATAGTTTTGAACGGCTCCAGAGGAATATTCACTCTTAGGTGATGACTCCTCTTTCTATTGGATTTTCTTTAAAAAATAATACATTTGATCAAACATTTGACTTTATATTGTCATCTAAGTTATGTGGTTTTCCAAATAAATACTTACGTTAAGAACATTTATCTGGAGAGACTGGAACCGACAAAACAGGATCTGATAGAATTCAATGTATTGATTGGCGTTTAATCTGACACTATGTGAATTAGTACATGGATAATAATAATAATAACAATAATAAATATGTATTTGTATTGTACTTTTAAAAAAGAGTGTTTACAAAGCAGACAGACAAGAAAGACAAAACAAAGACAGAGTGGAACAGTAACATACAACAGGTTTATAACTGACAGTTAAAAGCTGAAACCAGAGCACCTGGAGGAAACCTGCGCAGACACAGAAAGAACATGCAAACTCAACAGTAAGGCTGTTCACCGTGAAGCACAAGCGCTAACCACTGCACTAACCACTGTGGGGAGACAGTGGCCTTTGAGCCTGAAGGTTGTGGGTTCGAGCCCAACACGAGACCTTCTCCATCGAACTTTCTCTGATGTCTGCTGTTGCTGTCTCCTTGGGCAAGACACTTCACCCACTTTGCAGAGCGCAGAGGTAAATGCACAATGTATGCCTTGATGTGTATGTGTGTATTCATGAAACTGTAATATCCCCACTGTGGGACAAATAAAGGGTCTTCTAACAGGCACACTTCAAAAAGTTATGAAAATTAAGTCAGAAATGGTTAAAATTTGGTTAAATGTGTCTTAATCTGAGCACAGTCTGACCTTTGAACAAGATTTGCCAGTGGGACAATGAGCAACAGTATCATGTTTTAATAAAAATGAAAGTTTGAAAATAAAACTACAGTTGTTGAAATAAGACTGAACGGCTTGGTCTCAGTGGAGAATCTTGTTTTGTCAGAATGTGCTCAGGTTAGGATAAAAAACACAAATTTAAGCATGTATTACCTCCTATTTGACCGTTTTTTGCAGTGTATGAAGAACGTAAAACGAAGTGGATGAAATCATGTGAATTCCTTCCTTACTGTGAAAATCTTGTTTTTGTTTTCCGTGGAGGTGAGTCTCTGGCAGGCGTATGGAGACACTGAGGGGTCCGCTGAGGGGTCCGCAGAGGGGTCCGCGAGCGTCTGCAGGTCCTTTATACAAAACAAAAACAAACATGGATAAAACAATAATAATTATGAAAGATTTTGGAGATGGACGTAGAAGTTTGGACGAGTTTTGACTGTTTTGAGCATGTGACAACTGTAAAAACCTGCAGTTGTGATAACACTTTAGTTTAGCCCTCTCTAATTCACCGCTAATTAAGCACTAATTTGTGTATAATCTTTGGTGAATTATTTATGAATTGGTATTTATTTATAATGTATTAGTCCTTATTCTACATCTACAGTAAGTAACTACTAACTGACACTTTCCCATGTGGGTAAAGGTTAGGATAATCCAACCTCTCTCCTCTTCCCTGTCTCCTTTCCCCCCTTCCCCTCTCTTCTTTCTCCTCTCCCTGCTATCCTCCTCCTCTCTCCTCTCTCCTGCCTCCTTTCTTCTCTCTCCTGCCTCCTCTCTCCTGTCTCGTCTCCCCTCTCTCCTCTCTCCTGTCTCGTCTCTCCTGTCTCCTCTCCCCTCTCGTCTCCCCTCTCCCCTCTCTCCTGTCTCCTCTCTCCTGTCTCCTCTCTCCTGTCTCCTCTCCCCTCTCGTCTCCCCTCTCTCCTCTCTCCTGTCTCCTCTCTCCTGTCTCCTGTCTCCTCTCTCCTGTCTCCTCTCCCCTCTCGTCTCCCCTCTCTCCTCTCTCCTGTCTCCTCTCTCCTGTCTCCTGTCTCCTCTCTCCTGTCTCCTCTCCCCTCTCGTCTCCCCTCTCTCCTCTCTCCTGTCTCCTCTCTCCTGTCTCCTCTCTCCTGTCTCCTGTCCTCTCTCCTGTCTCCTCTCCCCTCTCGTCTCCCCTCTCCCCTCTCTCCTGTCTCCTCTCTCCTGTCTCCTCTCTCCTGTCTCCTCTCCCCTCTCGTCTCCCCTCTCTCCTCTCTCCTGTCTCCTCTCTCCTGTCTCCTCTCTCCTGTCTCCTCTCTCCTGTCTCCTCTCCCCTCTCGTCTCCCCTCTCCCCTCTCTCCTGTCTCCTCTCTCCTGTCTCCTCTCTCCTGTCTCCTCTCCCCTCTCGTCTCCCCTCTCCCCTCTCTCCTGTCTCCTCTCTCCTGTCTCCTCTCTCCTGTCTCCTCTCCCCTCTCGTCTCCCCTCTCCCCTCTCTCCTGTCTCCTCTCTCCTGTCTCCTCTCCCCTCTCTCCTCTCTCCTGTCTCATCTCCCTTCTCTACTGCCTCCTACACCCCTCCCCTCTCTCCTGTCTGCTGTAACCTTTTAGTTTCTCCAGTCCGTGTCAGTCCTGAGCCAGTCCATTTCGAAGTCCACGGAGCACAGGTGAAAGGCTCAGAGCGAGGCCTCATTCACTTTCATTTAACAGACTCCCGCTCAGGCTCCTGTCAGCAGTGATCACCGACCAAACCTTTCTCCAGCAAAAAAAATCCATTTGCTTTCAAGGCTTTGAGCTACCCTCCTGACTTCTATCTATCAGACTGTTTGCAGGGCCTGATTTGGCAAAAGGTAGCTACAGTTTACAGATAATGTGCAAAAAGTGATGAAAAAAAATTAAAAAGGTAAATGTATCTTGATTCAATCACATTCTGACTGCCTTGAAAGAAGATTTGAAGAACAATAAAAAACTGAAATTAGACTAAATGACTGTCTCATTGGCATGTCTTGGTTTAACACAGTCAGAATGTGCTCAGATTAAGATAAAAACAACATGGTTCAAGCACATATAATCTCATATTTGTATCATGTTTTTCGGTGTATCAATTATAGAAGAAGTTGATTAATGGTTTTTGAACCTTCCGCAGACTGAAAAACTGAGTAGTTCTAATCAACCAACTCCTCTCAGTCCTCTCTCCAGCTGCAGGGGGATCAGTGAGGGTGCTCTGTGGACTGGGTGCAGCTCTGACTGGCACCCCCGACCCAGAAATGGATTAAGGAAAGAAAATTAATGAATGATATAATTTATTTAAAATGTGTTTTCACCAATCCTTAAAGTGCTACAGATTAAAGTGTGATACAAAGAGTGAAAAGAAAAAGATACATGGAGGGTTAGAAGCTCATAAAAGTCCTAATAGACCTTCTTAAAGGGGAAGGTCGTCATTAATAATTATCAAAATAATATTTAATTGTAGCCTCAAACAGCTTGGGATATTCACCTGGTCTTTGAGGTGAAAAATGTCTGTTTCTTCATGATTTTGTAATCCACTGAATCCATCTGACAGGAGATTGGCCGTAAATAATCACAGTACATTAAAAAGAATGACGATGAAATCCATTAGTTGTATGGACAGCTAAAAAAATGGGTTTTAACCTTTGACATGGCCAGGTTTTAGGGAGACTGTCTGAGATTCTGAGGAGCTGAGACATAGAGTAGGACACGACAGAACACATCCAAACTCTAATCCGTGGCCACTTAATCACACTTCTCCACAAGGAACAGCATTTTCCCTAAAACCTCTTTTTCTTCATGCAAAATATTTCTTCCCCCTTTAAAGCAGTCTGTGGCAGGAACTGGGCTTTTAGACTAATGGAAAACATCACATTCCACTGCCTTTAATACTTTCTTGGAATATTTATGAAGCTGAAACAAATTTATTTTTCACGCCACGCAGGAAATCTTTAGGCGAACACACAGAAGGAGCCGAGCGATCAGGAAGTCTCCCCTCATGGGAGCGCTCGCAACGGATTTATCAGTCATAAAAACAATCTCCAGGATAGAGGAGGCGGACGGTGCGCAGAAAAGAAAGGGCACTTTGCCAAGATTGGATCAAAATCAGCACCGACAGAGCAGAGGTGGGCAGCCAGTGTTCTGGAGAGTCCAAACTGGTCTGCAGAGAGGTTAAGGTGTGATGTTAGGCACAGTGGGCGGGTCCCGGCTCTAAAGGGTCACATCAAAAGGTTTTTTTATGTTATTTTTGTATTATTATATTATGATTGATATTCTTTTATTTATTTATTTAATTTATGTGCTGGTGGGATGTATAAAGTAGTCTGAATCTGAATGAGCATGTGCACTGGCATGGCTGTAATCTGACTCTGTTGTACCCGGAAACAGACATTTGCCTCCTGAAAATGTCTTTTACAGGATTTTCCAAAAGTGGCTCTTGGTCAAAAAGTGGATCTTGGTTCAAAAGTGGCTCTTGGTCCAAAAGTGGCTATTGGTCCAAATGGTCCTAAAGTGGCTCTTGGTCCAAAAGTAATTCTTGGTCCAAAAGTGGTTCTTGGTCCAAAAGTGGTTCTTGGTCAAAAAGTGGCTCTTAGTCAAAAAGTGGCTCTTGGTCCAAAAGTGGCTCTTGGTCAAAAAGTGGCTCTTGGTCCAAAAGTGGCTCTTGGTCCAAAAGTGGTTCTTGGTCCAAAAGTGGCTCATGGTCAAAAAGTGGCTCTTAGTCAAAAGGTGGCTCTTGGTCCAAAAGTGGCTCTTGGTCCAAAAGTGGCTCTTGGTCCAATTGTTCAAAAAGTGGTTCTTGGTCCAAAAGTGGCTCATGGTCAAAAAGTGGCTCTTAGTCAAAAAGTGGCTCTTGGTCCAAAAGTGGCTCTTGGTCCAAAAGTGGCTCTTGGTCCAATTGTTCAAAAAGTGGCTCTTGGTCCAAAAGTGGCTCTTGGTTCAAAAGTCGCTCCTGGTCCAAAAGTGGCTCCTGGTCCAAAAGTGGCTCTTGGTCCAAAAGTGGCTCTTGGTCCAAAAGTGGCTATTGGTCCAAATGGTCCTAAAGTGGCTCTTGGTCCAAAAGTAATTCTTGGTCCAAAAGTGGTTCTTGGTCCAAAAGTGGCTCATGGTCAAAAAGTGGCTCTTAGTCAAAAAGTGGCTCTTGGGCCAAAAGTGGCTCTTGGTCCAAAAGTGGCTCTTGGTCCAAAAGTGGCTCTTGGTCCAAAAGTGGCTCTTGGTCCAAAAGTGGCTCATGGTCAAAAAGTGGCTCTTGGTCAAAAAGTGGCTCTTGGTCCAAAAGTGGCTCTTGGTCCAAAAGTGGCTCATGGCAAAAAGTGGCTCTTGGTCAAAAAGTGGCTCTTGGTCCAAAAGTGGCTCATGGTCTAAAAGTGGCTCTTGGTCCAAAAGTGGCTCTTGGTCCAAAACATTCCAGAAGCTGGTGATGCTGAGGGGAGCATTTCTACCTCTTCTTTGATAATCTTACTTTGCGACTTATTTTCTGATTCTCGACTTCCAATGCCTGCTCGGACCCTCCACTGGACCAAGCCTTGCCCTGTGTCAGCCAAACCTCCCGTACTTCTTGTTAATACATATTTTGACTGCCCTTTTTGGTGTCTGCTTTCAGGTCCTCACATCCACCCTAACACTCTCACTCCTATATGGCCAGAGCTGCCACACTAACACAACATATAAATAGTTTATGGCAAAAACATACATGGAAACAAATCAGAAAAGCTTACAATTTTCTCTTTACCAAGTAGTTTTGTGAAAAGCCAGATCTCTTTTAGTGCCATACAAAGAAAAGTTCCACACCTTCTTGCCCAAAATCTTTCAAGTGTACTGCCATTAACAGAACAAGTTGCAGATTGAAACCAGCGGTATATACAATATTAGGATAACATTTCAAATCGGAGATATCTGTTTTTGCATCTGAACTCTTCGTATAGAAAAAGCCGCTTCTACGCCGGGGTAAAGTCATGGTCACAGTCTGTCAGCTCGCACTTTCCCCTCGCCTCCATTTCCATCAGAGGAAGCGGAAGCAGCCGACAGTCCATTTAAAGCCGGAGACATATTTATTTGTTTTGTATCCAGCGGCTGAGGAGAGCTGACAGAGCAATCCACCACAGAGTACATTTATGTGGCTGCGGTGATGGCTTTATTTCATGCTCCTGGATGTCTGCGTTCGGAGGGCAGAGGGGAAAAACACATTTTCTCCTCCAGGATGGACGTGCAGCTCATCACGGCTCACTGGCAGCGTTTATTTCACACTGTAACACGATCGCGATGACATTCTTGAAGCGCGTACAGCCTCCATAGAGCAGCTTTGCCCAAACTCTGTAGGTGATAGCTGGATGCCCGACTCCGATAGCCACTAATAGGTTTTCTCCTGTTATGGCCGTGAAACTTGATCGTCTTCATAAAGCCATCGGTCTGTGCGATATTTACAATATTCCACAGTGTTTTCTTTATTTCCATTTATTTATTCTTGGCTTGCAGTCATGTGACGCATCCACTTCCGGTTAAGGATGGTCAGGCCAACAAAAATTGCTGCTGATATGCAAAGAAAATGTGACTCTTCTTCTGAGTATTTTCATGATTTTTTATTTATTTCATGACAATTTGAAGCTTCTGTGGTTAAAGTTCTAACTCATCATTCTAACAATATGCAAAAGACAGTGTTTTTCCACTACATGTTTTGGTTCACAATCCTAGATTGTCTTTTCTTCACTTTAGATTCTAATTCTCGAGATTGATACATCGAAAAAGTCATATTGTGTAACGGTATGAATCCTAATGCTTTTTCCAAGAATGATTTGATTTGCGAGTAAGAAAAATATCCGTCAATTCAGTTCCCGGATATCTCAAACTATCTGGTGTTGCAATCAAGCTTTTGCACTTTAAACAAATGAAGGCTTCGAAAAGCAGGGATGCTACAACTGTCTGTGGTTTTTAAGGAACTCAGAGTAAAGGTCCTGAAGGACAAATCCTGCATCGTAAACAGCCGTGTAAGTAACGATTGGTGTCTGAACTTGTCATTCTCAACAAAATCTCTTCACAAGGAAACCTAAAGTATCCTTTATCGGTTTCGCGCTATTCAAACCAGCGATTTGGCAACCAGTGTTGCCAAATCGCTGGTGCAGCAGTTTATGCAGCGACGCCCAGGTGTTCCCAGACCAGATCACAGACGTGTCCTGGGTCTTCCCCTGGTCCCCTCCCGGTGAGAATAGAGGCCTGAGTCAACCCCAACCGTCTCCTCTCAATGCGGAGAAGCAGCGGCTCTACTCCGAGCTCCTCACCCAATCTCTGAGGGAGCGCCCAGCCACTCTGGCAACCAAACAAATGTATAGTCTCAATCTTAAATTTGGCTACTTAGAATACTTTAACTTTAATCTTGATAAATTTCACAAATTTATCAAGAAAAAAAGTACTCCACCAAGAACATAAATGCCATATAATGAGATGTATGTTTAATTTCAAAAACAGCATTCTGGAAAATATCCGTACATTGTATTAGAAAGTGTTTTTTAACCTGAATCAGGTGCCTGGTCTCCACGGCGACAGGGCGACCCTCCTTCATGCTCTCTGTGAACCAGCTGATGTCGACCACGTGCATCTTGGGTAATTTTTTTAGGCCTTGTCCCTTTAACCACATCCACAAGGGGGCAGCAGCGATTTCCTCTGAGATCACGTGGGTGACTTCATCACTGCAACAACAACAAAAACAGACGGAGATCAGAGAGAGACCAGAGACAGAGAGAGATCAGAGAGAGATCAGAGAGAGACCAGAGAGAGACCAGAGAAAGACCAGAGAAAGACCAGCGAGAGACCAGAGAAAGACCAGAGAGAGACCAGAGAGAGACCAGAGAGAGATCAGAGAGAGACCAGAGAGAGATCAGAGAGAGATCAGAGAGAGATCAGAGAGAGACCAGAGAGAGAGACCAGAGAGAGACCAGAGACAGACCAGAAAGAGAGAGACCAGAGAGAGAGACCAGAGAGGGACCAGAGAGAGAGACCAGAGAGGGAACAGAGAGAGAGACCAGAGAGAGACCAGAGAGAGACCAGAGACAGAGAGAGACCCGAGAGACCCGAGACAGAGACTAGAGAGAGAGACCAGAGAAAGACCAGTGACAGAGACCAGAAAGGGAGAGACCAGAGAAAGACCACAGAGAAACCAGAGAGAGACCATAGAAAGACAAGAGAGGGATAAGAGACAGAGACCAAAGATAGAGACAGAGACCCGAGAGAGACCAGTGACAGAGACCAGAAAGAGACTAGAGAGAGAGACCAGAGACAGACCAGAAAGAGAGAGACCAGAGAGAGAGACCAGAGAGGGACCAGAGAGGGACCAGAGAGAGACCAGAGAGAGACCAGAGAGGGACCAGAGAGGGACCAGAGAGAGAGACCCGAGAGACCCGAGACAGAGACTAGAGCGAGAGACCAGAGAAAGACCAGTGAGAGACCAGAGAGAGATCAGAGACAGACCAGAAAGAGAGAGACCAGAGAGAGAGACCAGAGAGGGACCAGAGATAGAGACCAGAGAGAGACCAGAGACAGAGAGAGACCCGAGAGACCCGAGACAGAGACTAGAGAGAGAGACCAGAGAAAGACCAGTGACAGAGACCAGAAAGGGAGAGACCAGAGAAAGACCACAGATAAACCAGAGAGAGACCAGAGAAAGACCAGAGAGGGACCAGAGACAGAGACCAGAGAGAGACCAGAGAGAGACCATGTGCCTGAATATGGAAGTAGCATTTTGATATAGACGTTCAAGATTTCAAATGTACTAAATGTGTGATAATATGCCACAGGAAATGAAAACGGTTGCTTCCCTGACCACTATTTCAAATATTTCCAATTATTCACAAACTGTTTTCATTGTCAAGTCAAAAACAAACATAATGAGGAAGCTCTCAAGATTTCAGTGACTTCAAAAACATGTTTAGAGAAAAGAGCCGCAATATTTGAGAACAGAATATTTGAATTGTAATTTGTCGACAAAAAAATAATAGAAATCAATTAGAGAGCAAAGGCAATAGTTTTCAGTGTGTTGCTTTGTAAGAGAATGGAACTAAATTACAAAAACACTCTTGATGCATACAGTCACTCCGATGTAATGATTTAGAGCCCATGGGAAGGTGGAGGGAGCAGGGATAGGACGATCTTGGAAGAAAAGGTGTTGGAGTCTCGCAAACTTGAGGCTGGAATGGACATTTAGCTTCTATCAGAACAATATCCCAAAACACTTTCTATACAATGGAAAAGTTTAAAACAGAACATATTTGGGTGTTAGAGTGGAGGTTGAGTGGATAGCACTCTGTTTCGCTTCTCAGCAAGAAGGTTCTGAGTTCACATCCCGGTTGGTACAGGGCCTTTCTGAGTGGAGTTTGCATGTTCTCCCCGTGTTAGCGTATGATTCCTCCGGGTGCTTCAGTTTCCGCTACCACTAAAACCATGTACAATAGATCTGGCACAAAATGACGTGCGCTGACATGCTGCAATACCCCGGGCCGATGGGGGTGGACCCGGAAGTAGAATTAGCCAATATTAACATATAGCATTGGTTAACCTCTCGAAAACGTCTTTACAGGATGGACCAAAAGTTGTCTCTTGGCCAAAGCTCCGTTCCACATGTGTGTCAATGCTGAGGGGAGTGTTTTGGTCCACTCTGGTTTACTCGCTGTGAATTTTTTAAAGTCTCTCGTTCAAATGAATGGAGCTGCGCCGGCTGACGCATGCGCAGATGCATTTTTTCACAATTTTCTTGTGGGCGGGACCACTCGCGGCCATTTTGGATTGCTCCAGTAGAGCACTATTTTTGGCCCATTTGTTAGAACGGCGGAGATAGGCGTGACTCTGTCCGTTAATATATACAGTCTATGATCTGGCATGTGCCTCCTGTATTGGCCCCGCTCCCATCTCTGTGTGGAGCGAGATACAAATGCCCACAATTGTAAACCTCTTTGTGACTCTGGTCTAAGAAAGGCGCTATATAAATAAATACTGTATTACTTACTAACACCATCCTCTGAACTGTTTACTTTTTACTTGTATGTGTCTTGAAAAGGCGGTAAAGAAATAAAAAGTGTTATTACTATTATTGTTGTTGTTGTTACCGGATGCAGCGACTCTGACAGGTCGTAAAGATGGAACACTCTGGGGACCGTCTTCCTGAAAATGTGGGACAGGCTTCTTCTCTTTTGTTAACCACTGCGAGTTGCCTGCGCTGTACAAATAAACTTGCCTCGTTCTGAGCATACGCCACATGTTAGCTTTTATTTAGCGATCCTACATTCCACCACAGCACCTCCCTTCTGCTCCTCCGAGGCTCCTTAAACTCTGTCCCGTCCTGGTGAATTCTGGGAGCCTGGATCAAAGCATCCAGGCGTTCAGATCATTACCAGTCTTTCCACAGCCGCTTCCTTCTCCTGTATTCGCTCGAGCTGAAGAGAAATGTGTGGAGGGACTGCTTGAAGGACTGCCTAATTGGCCAAATCACAGATGAAACTGATCCGACTGCCTGAACACGGCCAGACTCTCTCCAACACCTGGGAGAGAGTCAGAGCTGATTATGGAGAAACTATGAGCTACAACCATGGACTGTGTAATTCTATAGATGGACAATAATAACACACTAGCTCCAAATGTTTTAGTAAGACTTGCTATATTCACTCAAACTAACTACACTGTAAACAGAGTAGGCGAAGTTAGCAATAGCTTCAGCCTACTCCTTTTCAGTCTTTCTTCCGGCTGTTTCTACTGCTCTGAAACAAAGTATAAAATTGACCAAAATAAACTTCATTCATGTCAGTCTTGTCCCGAGGCCGATAACCAGGATTGTAAAAATGTTTCAGGCTGTTCTTGGCTTTAAAACTGACTTATACTATTTGCACATATCCAGAGGGCCTGAGCTTTACAACAAGCTATAGCATGACTATATTGGTGGGGCTGAAGTTGGCTGGATGACAATGCGAAAGTGCCTCAATGGCTTCTTTGTGTTAGCATTTAGCCTTTACCTCAATGAAGCCCAATAGGGTAGTGCCAAGCCTGGAGATCCAAGATGGCGTCCTATTCAAATCAATGGCTGGTTAGCGGAAAGATTAGCGGATCGCGTTCTTTGCGTCAGAGTCAATGTGATAAGTGATAAGTATAAGATGTGTCCTTCTCCAATATGTAGCAGCTTAGTGGGTAACGTGTGTGTGCGGGCGTGCGGCGGACACGGGAGCACGCCATGGAGTAAACAGAGCGCTGAGAAATGAATGACTGAGATTGAAAGAATGAAAAGTGTGGCGTACGAGCAGAGCTTTCGGAGCCAGGCAGGATTCAAGTGAACGTTGGTGTGTTCTGGCGATAAAATAAAGTCTGACTCTTGGGGGGCTCACGTGAAAGGTGTAACACAAGCAATGGATAGTATAGAATGCGAAAGTATGCGACTGCAGGTAAAATCGTGTGTAAAAATGCACATCACAACGGGCAGGTAGATATAATGTGACGCACAATATCACAAACCCCACCACACATTACGAAGGTAAAGGTGCACTTTATTAATCCCCGTAAGACAATTAAATCCTCTGCATTTGACCCATCCTGATGCCGCTAAGGCTCACGTCAGGAGCAATGGTCGCCGTAGTAACAGCTTGATCAGGATTACCGGAGATGGAGGATTTAACCTAGTGCGCATGCTTTTAGTGGTAGGGGAAACCGGAGTTAACTACGCAGGCACGGGGAGAACATACAAACCCAGGACCTTCTTGCTGAGAGGCGAGAGTGCAGTAGTACCCAGTAGTACCCAATCTCAGGTGTCGCGGTCACGTAAGGCCCGGATCTAATCGCAATCTGGGCCTGGGCCACATTAACCGATCAATAGGTTGTGAACGTGACCCCAGCCGAAAATCTGAACCAAAAACAAGAACCAGAGGAGGAGAAAGACAATGGACTGAGGAAAAGAGGAGAGGGGACCAGGAGATAGACACAAACAGCTAAAATAAATTGGTGTTTGGTTTTGTTTTGTTTTTTTTACAGGGCGAGAGTGGCTCAGTTGGTAGAGCATTGGTCTTTAGGCCTGAAGGTCGTGGGTCCGAGCCCACCATAAGACCTACTTCACGACTCCCACTGATGACTGCTGTCGTTGTGTCCTTGGGCAAGACACTTAACCCCACTTTGCCTGAATCCCCCGCTGAAAGATCTCAGCTCCTGTGGACTCACCACCTGCAGGAGGATCAGTGAGGGGCTGGTGCTCTGTGTACTGGGTGCAGCTCTGACTGCCACCCCCCCGACCCAGAAATGGATTAAGGGGAAGAAAATGGATTGATGGATGGATGTTTTTTTATTTCTATTTTATCAACTTCGTTTAGTTGCTTATTATAGTCATTATAATCTTTATTGACCTTGAAGAGTGATGTTGCTTTAAACAGTCGCCATTATTTGTCGTTAATATTGCTGTTATCGTCTGTTCTTTCTTGTTTATTTTTTTTACATTTGCATAGTTTCTGTTCTATGTAAAGTGTGTATATTTTCATGTAGTGTTTTGGGGGTGGGCACCAATAAGCTTTTGCTTCGGCCCACTCCTTTTGAGCAGTATTTGTCTGCTCAAATAAACAAATAAATAAATAAAAC